TGATGTGAAATTAAATTCTTTATTTCTGATAACTATGACAATTTTCGACTAACAGCCAACAAAATACCTCGTTAAAGGTTGTTATTTTTTTCACAAAAAGGTACTTTGGAATCTTCAGTTTTATATTTTTCCAGGTGGTCCCACCTTTTTGTCAAGCACCTTTACCTTAGTTTGACTCACGTTGGATTCTACAATGGGGAGATACCAGCATTTCTATGCTTTAGAGCTGGACGTCCTTGACACTGACCCTCTCTTCTCAAACCTTTTCCTAACATTTTTTTGTTTGCTTTTTGTTCCTTTTTTTATTCTTTTTTTAAGAATAAGAAGAAGACAATTTTTTGTCTCTTTGCATACTTCAAATAAAGGTGAAACATCTCTTTCTGATTGATTAGGAACCTTAATATAAACTGTAGAAAGAGCCTGCTGTAGACCACACGATTATATTATATCTTCAGCTTTCGTTTCTATGACCCATTATCTTAGATAGTGTTAGTAGGTGAGGTCAAGGCACGCAACAACTTAAAAAAAAAACATGGGAGAACATCTTTTGTTTAGGCTTTAACAAGAGCACAAGGTGATGTTGCATGAGGTGATGTTAAACATGGGATTTTAAAATGCACAACATAATATAATTGGCATGATATTCTTTCAATCATAACATATTTTAAATTGCAACATTTTTTGATAAATAACTTTTTAAGGAAGAGGTTTCAATTATGCTTTTATTGCTTTTAGATTCTTAAAAATATTGTCTTTGTTTTAAAGTGTGATGATGAACTAACTGAGATATAGAAAAATAATCTGGTCAAGGAGTCCAATACTGTTTTTTTGTTTTTTTTCTCTGCAAACGCTCTCTTTTGACTCCACACATTCCTGCCAATAACATTGTGTCCATCCTCACAAGGACATGACGTAGGTTGGCACAGATTAGTCTAGATGCACTACTTACCAAAAGTACCATCTGACTCTAAATACTATTTCTGCAATTACAGGAGACTTTAAAAATGACTGCTGTAGCATTTAAACTAAGTCACAGATCAGACAGCAAGTGAATGTTCAGACTTCAGCAATTATATAATTTTTTTCTGCCAACAATATATTGCCAATTTTTCTAAACTGTCAGAAAATGTGACCCTGGACTCAAACTTTACTTATTTTCTTGCTCAGAAAATGCATATTGCTATGGTCTTTGTAAACCAGCATTAAAATGTCGAGATTACTAGCTCTTACACGGAAGAAATACCAAAGCAAACTTTCAGTCTTATATGATTCTTTGCACAAAACGTAAGGGCACGACTACTGTTTAGAACTGAAAACAGAAGCTAATATCTAGAATTGTCAAGCAAAAGCTAGTTGAGAGGACAGAAAAGATGACATTACTTTTCCATCTCAGCAAACTTTGCAACTAAAAAAAATTTTTTACTTGATATCTGTCTATTTATTCAGGCTAGATGTATTTATTTGAGTGTTTAAAGTCTTTTCTGAGCTAAATAAAAACAAGTGGCCAAACCTGAAAGATCCAAAACGAAGAGTCCACAGATTGACAGGTACAGTAGAACTTGCTGGTTAATGTC